CCCCCCGCCCTTACGGCTCCTATCCCTTATCGGCCCATTGAGGCGACGCGTCACTCTCTCCCTCGCGCGCTCGAGCGTTCCCAATTCGTTACAGAGTTGCACTTACCGCTCGCTCCCCCGCCCGGCCCGGCCCGGGGCAACAGCTCCTTATCGTTCATCCAATGAAATTACCAGCGCGCCACGCTCCTCTACGCGAGCGACGCCTATCAGCGCGGGAAATAACCGAGCCCGCTTGTTTCCCGAACTCTCATCAAGTCAACTGCATCACTCCACTCACTACTGGGGCTATTTCTGCTCTACCCTCTCGCGACATGCACATGGGCGGCGTAGTGTATCAACAGCATCTCTCTACTGCGGCTATTTCTGCTCTTCCCCGCCTCCATACGATAGGCACATGGGCGAGTGTCAAGTGCATTCCTCCACTCACTCTTATTTCTGCTCTTCCCTCTTCACACGCACATGGGATAGTATTAACTGCATCACTCACTGCGACCAACTTCTGTTGTTCTTTCCCGTCTACACCACGCATATGAGAGAGTGTCAACTGCATCACTCACTGCGGCTATTTCTGCTCTTCCCTCTCCACACGCACATGAGCGAGTGTCAACAATAGCCCCTTTTCGTCTCTGGCTTTGGGCGCTGGCAGAGAGCGGGTGGTGGGTGGGGCTGGCGGTGAGGAGGGAGAGGAGGAGGCTTCTCCACCAGCTGGCCGCCAGTTATCTATGCCTTGTTAATCTCACCGTGGAGAGAGAGAGAGAGAGAGAGACAGAGAGACCAGAGAGAATGTGTATATGCGAGTGTGCGCGCGCGTCTCTTTATCGTCACTAAGTGGAGAGCGGCGGTGATCGGTTGGACACGACGGCCCCAGCTCCGAACCACAACAGTATCGTAGTGGAGCTCTCGTGAGCTGACCGCGCCCCGCGGCGCTCCTCTTCGTCGTGTTGGTCGAAAAGAAGTGAACCGTCGCCGTCGTCCGAATCATGACGTCCTAGCCCGCTGCAGAGTCCTACAGCTCGCCCAGCAGCAGCGTCAGCCCTTTGGCCCAAGCCGCCCTTCACGAGAGCGCCATGTTCTCCTTGCAGTATCTGGTGTCGAAGCCCGTGGAGGAGGGGTGAGTCTCCGGAGAAGAGCGCCGCGCCATTGGGGACGTTGCTTAACTCACCGAGAGAAATATCCGCATAAATTTACAACGTGTATCGTAATTTTTATCTGCAAAATAATGTCGTAAATTTGAGACAGACCCTTCTTCATTATCGATCAATTCCAAGTCGATACGAGGTGCTCTTTAATATTCCTGAAAAAAAAAATCAAGAATTGATCTTGAAATGATGATTCAAATGGGGGTTGTGTGTTGTGTTCTAATTGCCTTTCACATTTTCCTGTTATTTGTTTCTGGCTTTCTTTTAATTCGGCGGGCTATTATATGGTCTAGTACTGTCTTCAAGTCTTCACTCACTCAGGCACTCAGCCACGTTTCTCCTAGCGGCCAATAACGTTGTTTGCTGGTCTAGCGCTTACTCCTTTCCTTATAGAGAGTTGTAGGCTATAGCTCTCACAACGTTACAATGTATAATTTATGTTAAGTGTAGTAGTTTTTTTAAGGTGACGTCTGCTAAAATTAAAATGCTCCTTCAAATTCGTGGCGTTCAATGCGTGGCGTCGAATAACAGCAAGATTATTACATGTCCTTTGACAGATTCAGTATAAAAACTTTTTTTAAAAAAACTTGGATTAAATGAGGCATAAAAACAACATTGTAAGCCTACCTCGATGTGTACAGTGCTGGTTCATGTGTCGGTGCCCCCTATGAGACGCCACTCTATCGGACGTTGCACTGCTGTTGCCTCTTGCTGCCTTGCCTGACCACGACTGTCCCTCTGTGTTGCAGGCTGATGAAGCTGGATATGGGGCCCCTGGGGCACGGGCCGGGGCTGGGCCCGCGGGTCGTCGAGGTCAAGTCCCTGACGCGGTGGAGCCAGACGCCCCCCGCCCACGGAGGCCTCCTGGCCGACTACAGCGGCGAGCTGCCCGCCCACAAGCACTGCCCCTTCCCCTACAACCCCACGCTCAACCACAAGGTGGTGCTTTGGTGAGTATTCTCTCGAGTCGGCGGGGCGCGTCGACGTTCTTGTTCCGCGAATTGTTTGAGCGGGAAAAATGCCGAGGGGAAATAAATACGGTGCGAAGCGGCGCTGGCGAGCGCTTAGCGCCTGGTGGGTATGCAGTCCCGCTCGGCAGGCGTGTGCAGCAGGCCGGCCCACCCTGCCGGCGCTCTGCGGACGGGAGAGAGAGGAGGGAGGGAGGCGGGCAGAGAACGAGGGCGCGCGGCATGGTAGAGTGTGAGTGTGTGTCAGGCGTGCAAATCATTAAAACGAGGAAAGCAAGCGCCAGTTTTAATGGAAATCCTGCGCGCCGCGCCGCGCTTGCTCATCGCCTGCTTTATGGGCCCCGCCCGGGCCGGCCGCATTCTGCAGACAAATAATGGAAGTTGAAATCCGCTTTGGTGCCCCCCCCCCC